CATGGGGACGGGGGCACAGGGACAGGAGGACACAGCTCTTGGGCTGCCTGGAGGGGCTGGAGCAGCCCAGGGTGGGTGGCTGTAGGGACATGGGACAGGGGGTACACATGTCCTTGACCCCCCCCCCAGTGGCTGAGCACCTCATCGCCCAGCACAGTGCCATCAAGATGCTGCACAGCCGGGTCAAGCTGATCCTGGAGTACGTGCGGGCCTCCGAGGCTGGTGAGTCGGGGACAGGGCTCTCCCCATTGCCCAGGGAGGGGCAAAGGAGACAGCTCTGTCCTGGAGCAGGTTTGGCCCTAGGGTGTCCCCAGGGAAGGACCGTCCCCCAAGAGGGGCTCTGGGAGGGCCCCAGGACCGTCCCCAAGGCTGACATTGTCCCTGCAGGCGAGGTGCCCTTCAACCACGAGATCCTGCGCGAAGCCTACGCCCTGTGCCACTGCCTGCCTGTTCTCAGCACTGACAAGTTCAAGACCGACTTCTACGACGTGAGTGATGGTTGGGGGGGGTCCTTGGGGAGCTGTGGGGGTGGTGGTGGTCAGGTGCCCATGGCCCTGTCGGGGCACACGGCGGGGACAGAGCTGTCTCCTTTGCCACCGGTGCTGTTGGTGGCCCGTGCGCTACTGCAGCCGGGGGTGGGCAGATGCAGCTTGGGGGGGGGGGGGGGCCTCAGCAGTGCAGTAACCCCCCAATCCACCCCCGCCAGCAATGCAATGACGTGGGGCTGATGGCGTACCTGGGTACCATCACCAAAACCTGCAACACCATGAACCAGTTCGTCAATAAGTTCAACATCCTCTACGACCGGCAGGGCATCGGCCGCCGCATGCGGGGACTCTTCTTCTAAGGGAGGGGGGGATGCGACACTGAGGACACCCCCAGCCAGGCCCTGAGCCGCCCCCAGGGCTGGGGGACCCTACCCCAGGACTGTGCCCCCCCCTCCTGGAGGCCCCCCCAATAAATCAGCTCCAGGCTGGGAATTGTAGCTCCAGCGTCATCTGAGGTTCTGGGAGAGCTAGGCCCAGGGGAGCAACATGGTCCCAAGGGGAGGGGAACAGACAGATGCTGCCACCAGAAACTGTGAGAAAAACTTTTTTATTGGTTTAAAAAAAAAACAAAACAAAAAAACCAGAAGATGCTTTAATGAGGGGAGCGGGGTCAGGGCAGGTGAAAGCCCACGGGAGCCAGCAGAGAGACACAGGATGTGTGCCTGTGTCTGGTGACAGCAACTGCATCCCTGTGCATCCCCCCTGCCCTGCAGGGGGGCTGTAGGGCACCCCCCCCCGTGTCCGTCCCCCCACCGCCTCAGACGAAGGTGATGCGGGTGCGGGCGGCATTGACCTGCAGCACATTGAGCTCCTCGTACTCCTGGAGCGCAGCCTGGACCTGGGCAGGGGTGAAGCCCTTGGCCAAGCAGCGCTGCAGGGCCTCGGCGTAGGGCACAGCCCGGCCCCCCGCCAGCTCCCGCACTGCCGCAAAGATGGCGTCGGCAGGACGCTGCACCCTGGGAGGGGGACGGAGAGAGGGGTCAGTGGGACCCTGGCTCTGCCACCTCCCCCCCCCCCCCACCCCAAGACAGTCAGGGCTCCCCCAACGCTGCCACCCCCTTCCTGGCAGGCTGGGGTACTGCCCCCCCCCCCCCCCCCATTCCCCTTCGTTCCCCCCCCTCCCCCC